GGTATAGAATCGCTGTTTTGAGGCCGAATTCCTCAAATAAAGCTGTGATCTCTTATCTTCAGATTCAGTTATATGTTATGGTACTGGTTGCAGAAACTACTGCAGATAATTAAGAAACTCTCATTTGGGCATTTTGAAGACTACTGCCACTTGTCACGATATTCACCACTCTGTTAATGAAATATTACAGATTTGAACACGAGCTATACCTTCTTTTATACTGAAATAGCATCAAGCATGTGGGCAGAATAGCATAAAAGTAATTTTTCCTAAGAATCACTGAGCAGGGTGTTCTCCCAATAAAGCCCTTCGCTCTGAGAAAGATCTATCATGAATATTTGTCAAATCATCAGAGGAAAAGTCATTTTAGTTCTTATCCCATCTATTGTTGGTCCTTCAATTCAGAAGCAGTGCCTCTTTACGTCTGGTTTGGCAAGTAGTGCCTCCTCTTCCTCATATCATATGTTTTGGCTTGAATACAATAGTTTCTTTTTTTATCAGGAAAGATCTTGGTGCAGGAGTCTGCCCTGACCCTGATGCTTCCTGACTCTGATACTGGAATAAATTTCTATTGGTTTTCCTCTGCCCTGTCTCCCAACCCTTTTAAACTCAAACTTCACATACACAATCCAGGTATTTAGCGTAAAATTTGGCAAAGGGCTTACCAGTCTAGGACATAAATGAGAATTTAGATGTCTAAAACCATTGCTTATGTGTTGATACCTACAACTGGAAGTTCTTCAAGTCATAAGGATTAAAGATCACAAGATGCCCATTGTATTCCAGCAAATCTGGAAGGAAATAAACTTTGACTGTACCGTGTATTCCTAAATCTGTGTGTGCATTTTGCACACACAGAGTCATTGGAAAAAATGTGAAAGCAAGGGTAAAAATTCAGGACTCCCACTGCCAGGAGAATATCCCCAACCACTGGCTATTACAATATTGTTAAAGAAATGAGTAAACCCCACTCCCAGCCTCTGACAAATGAAAGTTTAGGCACTCGACTACACCCGAATACGTAGAGTTTGGATCACATTGTGAAAAAGCCAAGTCTAAAAAGAGGCCATAAAAAGAAAGAAAAGTTTTCTAAGTTCAAGGAAAATTGTACTTTAGTTTGTCCAAAATGAGATATTTGAGACCATTTTCTCCAAGAATAATTGACAATCCTGTATTTCTACTGGAAATGGAAAAAAGAAATATTAGAAAATTTCTGAGGAAAATGCATTCCTTGTCTGTTCAACTTATAAAATGAAACGAAAATTTTCCTAGGTTACCAAAATTCAAAGTCAACACTGTTTAATTTCAAACACAGTAGTATTGTATTAAAGCCTTTTTTTCACTACAAGGTTCCTGAGCACTCAAGACTGTTCATACATAGAGGAAAACAGAACGTTCTTTCAAGTTCAGGTTAATTTAAAGGAGCTAAGAGTTTCTTTGGTAAAACAATTTTAATTGCTTCATTATTTATTTCAAACAGCATGCTTTCTAGCATTCTTGGACTCAAATCAGAAGTATTAATAGCATAATACTATTTAAAATAGTACGAAAAAATAAGTATAGTCTTCGTCCAGCCTTTAAAAATTTTTTTTTAATAAATGGTGATAAAAGAAATATAGAAGTACACTATATAGATTGTAATACTCAAAAGAAAAAAATATTTTAACTTCTGGTGTTCACTTGCAACAGGGGCAATTAGGAGTCAGTCTCAATTTCCATTAAATGCAATTTCCATGTGGTAAATTCATAATTTTTCATGTAAAATAAGTCAACTTTATGAGTTTAGGAGTCTCAAAAAATTACATTATTCTGATTTCTATGAAGTCAAAGAGAAAAACAACTTCAATTCTCACACTTCCTCAAGGTTTACATCATTATAATTGAAAAGAAATAGTATTTCATCACCGCAAAATTTTCAAATGTTTTAAAACCTGTTTTCATTCATTTAGTTCTATGTTATGATTTCTCTTATATCCCTAAATTTAAGGTGTTGACTTCTTTCATCTGAAAGAAGGGATAGAGGAAACCTCAAGTTTATATGTTGGGGTTTCATAAAATCATTCCTGTGGTTTTGAAGCCATTTGAAGCCAGACTGTGACTTCCAAATTTTATGAGTGTAAAGAACTCATTGTAAAGCAAAATAACTGTCAAATGCTCTATTAGTTGTTATTTCTGCTTTGACAGTATCATTTCCCCTAACACTATGGCTGTAAAACTGGCTCTTTCCTAGCATGACAAAAAAAATCAGGTTTCATTATTCCAGCACAACCTTGAAATGAATGACATGCTGTGTAGATTGTGTCCTACCCAACCTGTCTTTTTGGGGCCTTTTAGAAGAAAGGAGCTGGATGGTCCCTCTTTCAGGTCTTAACATGTAAGGACAAAATCACGTTAAAGATTCTATCTTATATTCATGATTTTGGGTTTTGCTTTTTTTTTTATAACTTGGGTTCCTTGATTCTCTGACTATATGACTTGAAATAACCTTTTTCTCCTCTTTCTTAGCCTTCCCTCACCATATGGAAAACATATTGTGTAGGGTTTTTTACACTGGCTTTTCATTTAACTGGCACCTGTTTCTAATTTCAATGTTGGGGGTTATAAACTGCTAAAAAAACTTAAGCAGATGTGAATTTCGTTTTCATGGTGAGAAGGCAAACCTGGTCCAGACATGCAATAATAAAATTTCAAGTGTGGCAATTGCCATTCTTTTCTTTCTGGTCCATCTGATGTTTGAAAGGGATTTTTTTTGCGGTGTTATTCGCACATTCTCTTTTAAACTCATTCAAAGTACACATTTTTGAAGACTAATTTATTCCAATCCATGTCAACATGTTTATTTCTATAGGGATATATAATTATTAAAATTTGAAAAAATAATTTAGTTGATGACACATAAAGGATATTTGGGTGATTTTTTTTTCTCCTGACTACAGAATAACTAAAGAGACATAAAAATTCTATGCATTTAAGGACAAAGAATTAAATCACTCGTTCCATTTCATCTAGTACATTTAAGTCATGCTTGTAAAGAAAATCAGGCCTAATATTTTTAGTGAGATTTCAGTTTTGTAATTGTGTCCTTGAGGTTGCCCTATAGATGCTCTGGAAATTAAAAGAACAGTCTAATGGTTAATTCCAATCTGCATTCAAGTTCAAATTGTTTCTTTTCCATAGAATTCTCATGACTGACAGACTTCAGGCAAACCTTTCTATTTAGTTGAGAACTCTCCATCTAAAAATAACAAAAATTATTTTTTTGACACATCTGGTTTTGGCTTGTTTTTTTTTTTTGTGGTGCTATACTGATCACTGGGAATATTTTGTGCTGGAATGGTGTCAGTTTTCTGTCCTCGTGATTAGTATTTAGCAGTAAGACACATTTTCATATATTTTGGGGTAATTAACATGAAAGAATGGGTTTAAGGTTTGTTTACCTTCCTCATCATCCCTGACTCCAAAAAAAAAAAATCCAAGAGATATCAGTTGGTAAATATGGAGTTACTCAGCTTCATAATTCTACCTTCCATCCTTTTTCTGGTTCTTCTCTCTACCTTTCCATTATTCATCTCCACATACATAAAAATGCTGAAGAGTGCTCACTATACAGACCTTCTTGCTGCCTTTAAACATTATGCTTGCTCACATCTGCAATGCTGCAACGATCAGCCAATGGAATTAAAAATTCTTGATGGGTGAGACTCCTTTTCATGAACAAAATACAAATAGGAATTTTGCCCATCTCAAAATGTTATGATATTCATCCTCAAACTTGTGATTTAAAGCAAAAGAAGTACCTTTTATAATTCATAAGAACATTTTTTCAAAGTATATACTTATTTCACAACCTAACAGTCTAATTCTGATTTCAGTTTCCTCTTCTGGGGGGTGAGGGTAGGCACCTTATTCAAATGAAAACTGGGACCAAGCCAGTCACAGTCTGGCTTCCACTGTGTACAGGGCTTGAAGGATTGAACCTTTGGCTTTTGACCATTTAATAAGTAGATTGGTAACAGCAGTGAAGGGTTATAGGGTGCAGTGGTGAGCAGCCCGTTTTCTGTCAGTGGACAATTCCAGGAGACAAATTGTGAAACAAAACTAACTCTGGGCTTTCCTCCTTATTTTGTTCCATGGAGGTAATTAATGACATTTAATGATAGTTGTCTGAACCACAGTGAAATAAGGGTTAGACTTGATGATCTTGGAGGTCCCTTCCAACCCAGCTGATTTTATGATTCTGTGATTCTATGAAATACCTCTGGGCACACTGGCAGGATAAGGGTGCTATGAATAATTGAATAAAATGCCCCACAAACAACTGAAATAACTCTACATACTTGATTTCATAGATCAGTACAGAGATTCAGTGCAACAGTGCCTCACAAGGAAATGCAAATTGCTATTGAAAAGACACATTTAAAGCTGACAATATCAATTCCGTCTTATGACTGAAGTTTATAAATAAAATAATTCACAAGAAATTCCTTTGTTTCAAATAAGCAAAGTTTCTTTCTATTATTACAAAAAACAATGTTATGAGTAAGAAAAGAGATGGAACAAAGAGACACAGCTGAAGTGGAGAATCTCTCTTGCTGCCTGCTTTAATTCTCCATGTCAATCTACTGTCCATGACAAATTGTGCTTGAGGGTATTCTGTATAACTTCACAGAGGTGTTTGAGCTCAAGATAATCGGAAAAAAAGAAAGAGCATTCTCAATTTTATTTTTTATAAAGCTGTTTTGGAACTTTAGGGACTGTAAACACAGTCTAAACACACTTGAAAACTAGAAATACACCTCCATCTGTACAAGTCCTTCTCTCTCTCTCTCTCTCTCTGTTTATTCAGACTATGTATTCACAGTCTGTTCCAGAAGTATTCCTGATGGTTTGTTCCTTTGGTAGCTTTCATAACTTTGTTCCAATGGGTTGTTATGTTTATGACATTCGCTGATAAGGCTCTACTTCAATCCCTCCCTAAGACCCAGCAGAACAGAGCCAAAGCAGGAGAAAAAGAGGCTGTTTGCTCACAGACCATTTCATTCTGGGAAGTCCCGTGCCTCAAATCTATGTAGTTTACCTAAGACTGTAAAGGTACCTCTTAAACCCTTCTATATAAGGACAAAAGGTACTAGAGCTCTCAGATTTTCTTGAGTATAACTCACTGCAGACTATACATAAAACATAAAAAGTTCATATAGGGTTAATGTACATTTTAATTAATGGTCACTTATTAGAGTTCTATATAAATCGGAAAGTCAATGGTAACATCTTGCTGGCCAGTAACTTGTAGTGACAGCAGAACTGTATAGAACATTTTTAGATCTATTAATCATTAGGCAGCAAACTTGTGTGTGCCAAATAAATCTACATATACGAAGAAATGTGGGGTTAGGTCTGTTTCTCCTGTAACACAGCAAACAAAAAATTCTTTAAGGGGATAAAATCTCAGTAAATATTTTTTTTAAAAAAATACACTGTAAAATACACTGCAAAGTTACTTATTGACAAATCCACCAACTTGTCAGTATTTACTTACATTTTTTCAAAGTCTTACACAGACAATAGAGTGTCAACAGTAGATTTCAACAGCATTGAAGAAATGCTGTCAGAGATCTGATGTGTCTTTGACAAACTCTTTGTCTGAAGTAATCTCAATGACAAATCTCAAGAACAACTCTCTGTTTGATCACAGGTGAACCTTTTTTAGAAGAGAAAATTAAATTTAATAAAAATAGTTAAGAATCCCTGAAAGACAGTGGTTTATTTGGTCATACGAAGAGTCACTCTGGTTTTGATTTTCCTTTATGCTTTTTTTCTGATGTTATGGTTGTTCTTTCATTTCTTGAAAAGTACTGGGCTAGTCTGTGACTAGTTTGTGACTGATCAATAAACCTCTACAATGGGAGAAGACTGATGGTATATGGCTGAAGGTGATACACTCATGAAGGTCAGGGAAAAATAGAGGGATGGCAGTCAGGAAATTGGACACAAATGGAACCAGGGGGTGGCCTTGGTTCAACCGAGTGGAACCAGTCAAGTGAAAGTTTCTGTCTCAGTTAATCATGAGACTGTGAGTTAGCCAGACTAACATAAGGAAGTATATGCCTGGCTCAAACCACTTGTACTGTGGTTCAACTGTCTAGTGCAATTCCTGTATTCTGTGAAGTGTGATTTGCACACGTATTACGATTTCAGAGCGTTGTGAATTCGCTCGGCTAAATCAAAATCCTGTATAATGTCAGGTATCTACAAACAAGAAAGTCCCTTATTAAACATTCAACCCTTCATGTGTGAAATAACTAGAAGGACCTGGTTGGAGAGTCTTGGAGTTTGACAGAGTTATTTACCTCCTTGATAGTAAAACTTAAGAGTGTCTATTACCTAAAAAGGAGTGGGTTTTTTTGCTTCAGTGTGATTAATTCCACAGGGAACTCTTTTGTTCTCCTTTTTGGTTAAATGCTACCATAGTGATCTCTGTTTAGTTGGAAAATTCTACACACAACTAGCCTTCAAGTTGTGTGTAGAAGACAGGCAGACCATGCTAAGTGCCACATGAATCACAGTCCTTCATTTGATCTCAACATTTTTAGGCATACTATTAAAAAATGTCAGATTTGGAAACCTTTCATTTGACATTTATCTGAAAAACCACAACGTAACTGTATTTAAATGTCGAATGAGAATAAAGCTGTATTCTTATCTGTATAAATATCAAATGAATGGTTGTTTCCTCTGATATTTAAGACTCTGAATGGGTAGAGGTCAAGCGAGGTGGATCCCCTGACAAAGGTTGATATCGCAGAATTCTGAAGTAGTACCTCACACCTGAACCCTGGGGTTCGTTGCCCCAAGTGCTCAAGGTAGTGACAGGAACAGAATCTTTCTGAGGCAGCTGTACCCTTAGCCAACATAACACTTTATTCCTATTTCCTTCCCCAAATTCTGCTTTTACATGACATGATTCAGAGAAGGAATGTCACTTTCCAGGGGAGAACTCAATTCACTAAATTATTCTTTGTTTTGTAGGATGCCTCATTTTCACACTTGCTGAAGTAGTACTGCAAAACACAGTTAAAAATAAATTATATTTGAATAGGCCCAGTAGAGAGATAAATTAATATATCCAAATTTTGTATGCCTCTCAGATTAATGGGTCTGCTTTTTCTCAGGTACCAGCAGAACAGAATTAATACCCAAGTAAATTTTTGTTAACCATCCCATATGTAAGAACATTGACTGCATTATGAGTAATCTAATATTATTAAATTAACTAAAAGGATCTCAAAAAAATTGAAAATGTGTACTTTGATACCTAAATAGGTCCAAAAGTCAGCTTGTCCATGAATAACAAATCACTGAATCATAGAATCATTTAGGTTGGAAAAGACCTGTGGGATCATTGACTCCAACCTTTGACTGATCACCACCTTGTCAACCAGAACGTGACACTAAGTGGCACATCCAGTCTTTTCTTGAACACCTTCAGGGATGATGACTACACCAACACCCTGGGCAGTCCATTCCAATGTTTAACCATCCTTTCTGTGAAGAAATTCCTCCCGATGTCCAGTCTGAACCTCCCCTGGTGCAACTTGAGACTATGTCCTCTTGTCCTGTTGCTGGTTGTCTGGGAGAAGAGACCAACTCTCACCTGTCTACGAGCTCCTTTCAGATGGTTGTAGAGAGGGATAAGGTCTCCCCGGAGTCTCCTTGTTTCTGGGCTGAACAACCCCAACTCCCTCAGCTGCTCCTCATGGGGCTTACCCTCTAGACCCTTCTCTGGCATTGTTACCTGTCTCTGGACGTGCTCCAACACCTCAGTGACTCTCTTGCAGACTTGAGGTGCAGCCTCACCAGTGCCAAGTACAGGGGGACAGTCACTTCCCTGGTCCTTCTGGTCACAATATTCTTGATACAGGCCAGGATGCCACTGACCTTGGCCACCTGGGCATGCTGCTAGCTCATGTTTAGCCAGCTGTTGACCAAGCAGCGCTAGATCTCTCACCTTGGGAACCAAAAGATTGTTGTATGGGTCAATAAACCAAGCGAGCAAAGTCTTCCTCTGAAACATAAAAGACCTCCTAATTTTGGTATTCGTTTGTTAAGTATCCACAACATAAATATATCCTATCCATAGCCATAACTAAACTGCTAAGTGGAAAATAAATCGAAAGGACCATTTTCTATAAATGTATATAGTATTCCCGTGTGATATCCTAAATATATTGGTGGAATGCCTAATGCTATCATAAAACTAGAATTGTTGAATTCACAGTTCCAATTGTCAATTCTCTTATGCACTGTAAATGGAGACTGTAAAATTTAAACATTATAAGAATTTTTATTTTACAACACCTTTCTGTTTCAAGTACATTAACATACTGTAATTATATAATTATAATACTCAAAGAAAGTGGAGTTCAGGAAAAAGGCTTCTATATCATCTCATTCCCAAAATCACTTCCTCACCTACCTGGCAGGTAAATCACAATATGCCTTCCCCCCTCCATCAAAAAAAACCCCAAAACCAAAAAACAAACAAACAAACCCAAACAAACAACAACAACAACAACAAAAACCAACCAACCAACCAAACAAACAAACAAAACCACCAAAAAAACACCAAATACCAGACTTCAGAAGACTTCCAGGAAAAACCCCTTAACATTCCAGCAGACCCTCTGTTGTGTGCCTTATGTAGCAGTCCTTTCACCTATCCATAGCAATACGCTAGAATAATGCTTTAAACATGAAAACCCCTCCATAGTCAGATCCTCAGCAGTATCTTAGGAGATTTAGAGTTGAGAAGAGCCACCTCAAACCTTTCCTTTCTGTACTATCTTCTTTTCCATTCACTCATCAGAAGCAGGGTTCTTTTCATATTGCTGGAACTGCATTGCCTGGAAAACCATGATACACTCTTTGGAGTCTAAAATGTATGTCCAGGTGTCTTGTCTTGAGCACCCAGAGCTAAAGCACGGCTCTCCCTGCAGCCTGCCTGCAGCAAGCTGTACCAGAAATCACTCCTCAGACCTGCCCCCAGGACAACCTGGGCATTAACCCAAGCAAGGCATTCCTCTGGGTGACAGGGAACCTAAAACTCAATCATGTAATGCTGCTTGCAATTTCAATCCCCAAAGCTGCTTGCAATTTCTCATCTTGAGGCTTTGCATAAAACAATAGTTTTTTTCTTAATTTCCCTGAAATCCTACTCCTGTACAAGCAAGGGAATTTAGGTTGGATTCATATAGTCAGTAAATACCTTATGGTATACTTTTCAAGTAACTAGTGAGTAAGGATGATGTAGAAGGACCTAGATACAAGCTGGAGTCTCTTCTTCCCCAGAAGATATATAGTCAATTCAACTTCTTTCTCTATTCCACTCTGCAAACACAGGAAGATGTGTGAAATGAACAAAGTATGTGTATATAAGCATGACGGGTAAAGAGTGTTGATGTTGAACCTGAAATGAAACTAAGGAAAGCATATGAAGTGTGAAACATATGGCAATGCATATGTATGAAGTTTGGATCAGGATATGCATCACAAAATAGTAATAGGTTTTTATTCTGGGAGAAGAGAGTGATAAATCAAAGGGGAATAAGAACCTCACACTAAAAACAAGAGAAGTTGGAATCTCCTTCCTCTTAGCTGTTTGGCATTTCCTCTTGAAAGAAGCGGAGGAAGTATTTAAATATTTTATAACCTTCATTATTGGAACATACATCTCTTTATTACATTTTTGGAAGCATGTGTTCTATTTGAAATCAGTATGGATGTATAAATATTTTTAGGAGATGATTATTCTCTGTATGTAGGTGGAGAAGAACATCGAATTAGTGAGATCTTGCTTTCGTGAGTAACAGAGCAGCTGGCATTATCCTTCCCTTCCCTCCGCCTCCCTGGCCAAGGGAAAACACCTCATATCCTCAACTTTAATTCCCAATATAAAATAAGAAATGGTTTTGGCTTCCCTCTTTCCATCTGCTTCTCCAGGTAATATTGAAATTACATCTGCTATGTTTGCAATTCTTTTAACAGGTCATTGCTGAAGTGCAGGGAAAATAAAAAGGAATGCCATGGGGCTTCACAGAACTGTAGGAAACAGAGGAAGAAAAGATCTTTTAGTCTACTTCCCTGCCTAAATATCTGATTTGTTATGAAAGACATTTAGTCACAGAGACTCAAAAGTGTTCCCTAATCTTCTGTATCCTTTACACATAAGCATCCAGGTTCAGATGCTTAACAGGAGGAGCAACTCCTTTTTATCTAACATGACCACACAACCGTACTTAGACCACACAACCATGAAGATTAGGTACAACTGCAAAATCTGTGGCAATTCAATGCCCTCTGGTTTTCCCGTTCTGTATTTAGGTGGTGCTAGTGAAAATGAAAATGTCCACTAGTGGTGCTGAAAAAAGAACATACTCCCCAGTACTGGTAGAATATAAACTTCTTTGGAAGGTCTCAAGTCCATGAAAGGTATTCAAGATCATTATTGGGAAAAATCTCCAAAGACTTTATTCCTGCTCTGTATCGAGATGTGGCAACAGAAGAACAGACTCAGGAGATATACTATGTCTCTAGTTTATCCAACTGAAGCCTTAATATCTTTAAATCTGGTTTTTTCTTATATTTTTTTTAGACATTCAACAAAGTCCAAAGCTCATATGGCTCAGAGACCTATTCTGTTCAACTCTTCTGTGTACTGTCCTCCTGCCTGGATATTTTGTTTGCATACATTAAAAGAACCAGATTTGATGGAACAGCACTGAATTGTTGCACCTGAAAATCTGACCCAATGTCTTCTCTAAGAAACCACTGCAGAAACATAACAACTTCATCTTTTAAGAAAAGCATAAGCTCCTTCTCTCATTGTTGCTCATGGTTAACAGAAAAGGACAATTGTATAAATCTCACCAGAAAAAAAAGAAATAGTCATGATTCAGAAAAGGTTTGAGACAGGATGAAAGGGAAAGTAGAATATAATCAAACAGCAAAAGAAATATCATTATTCTATTATTTTCAGTAAATTATTTCTACTAGAAGACTATGGTTACTGGAGTGAAATCTCCATAATAAAACTGACCATGGTTCACACTGCAGAGTATTTTCCAGTTGCTTATGTTCTCACATAATTCAAAATATTTGTATCTTCTTCTGAAGGCTAACTCAGCATAATTCAGGCAAATAGAGATGGCCACAAAGTCTTCAAGTTAGTTGAGTATTTCGTTTGATAAATACATAAATATATTTAGCGACAAACAGACTGCAAATTATTTTACTGTCTTCTTACTTGTTTGACATCAAAACCTTAACATTAAATACGAACATAAATGAAATTTAAAACTGGATTCAATCATTAAAAAAATGTGTAATATAAAATTTCTACTTTATTCATGTAGTTTTTTTTAGAAAGATGGTGATCAGCTTCATAGAGAATTATGAATCTCAATTTTGAATGGCCTGTATGCTTTGGAGTTCTGTGGCAGATTTTGCTTTGGCTCCTTATAAACATTTGGGTAATAAACAAATTTTTAATCTAGAACAATGTTTGGAATTTTGAACGATGTCACATTCACTGCTCTTTGAACTACATACTTGGATAGTAGCCATGGAAATCTGCAGGTAGTGAGCTGCTTCAACAAGCACTCTGAAAAGTCTCTAACACTTGTGTGTCTTATTCTCAGATAGCAAACAATAAAACAGAGAGGCTCAGATTAAATAATAATTTCAGACTTCTTTACTCTTCTTAGTAACTTACTTTAGTCCTCACTTTTTATGCCTTTCCAGGATTTTTGCAGTCACTGTTTTGGCCATTTCTACTGCCTCCACTTTCCGTTATGTCTCCTCCCAGGTAAAAAACAACATACAAAACCTAAAAACCCAGTTACAATACATAACTAACAAAACTATGTCCACTATACTTTTTTTTTTCCCTTTGGTTGCATGATGCCAAGCCTATTATTTTCATTTGTAGTCTTAAGACATCTGGAGATAAGGAACATGTCTTTTATACTCGTACAGCTCAGAACACAACAAGCATTAGACACTGATTAAACCCTACTGTCATATAACTACTTTATCATTGTCATCCATACTAAACAAATACATTTGCTTGAAACTAAGCATGTTGAATTAGCAACAACATTTAATAGAACCTTTTACTTCACCACTAACAGGCATGTTAAACAAATTACACTGATGTAAATCTGGAATGATCCTATTATTTTTAGTGGAGTTAATCCAGACTGATATAAATGTTAACTGAGAACAAAAAAGGGTGGAATCCACAGGGAAAACAATAGAATAAATGTGGTTTAGATGTGCATATTTATTTTGCCCAGGTTTCTTAACAGACTCGAGGCAATTCTCTAGAATGTAAAGCCTTCTGATAATCCTGTACCACAATTTACTTCAATTTTAGAATAGTTATTTACTGCCTTTCTGCAAATGCACATGTTAATTAAGTTGACTTTGATTAATATATTATTTATAAACCCACAGTACCAAAAGGTCACGAACTGCAAAGTCTTAATTTCTTGCGATTTTGATTCCAAACTATTTATTAGACAGGGCTACAAGAAAGAGCTGCTGCCTGTGGGAGAAGTGTCACTTGCTGGTCATTTGAATCCAATTATGAAGCACGTACATGCAGAACATTCCAAAATAGTATCACTGTCGCTATGACTGCATTTCCCTTTAGTCTCCATATTGTTACATTACCCAACACGAATTGCATCGAGCTTTTGTTTCTTTTTCTATCCTTTTTGAAGGCAGTCTAGGAATTTCCTGATAGAGTTGAAATGGAGCAATAAGTACAGATTTTCCTGAGTGTCCCACAGACACGTAAGTCATTTGGTTCATATGTGGGTGGTCTTTGACTTATTCAGCGAGCTCTGCTGTAGACTCTCAAACACATCCAACCCAATTAGATAGATGCACAGTATGGTCTTTACAAAATATCATTCAGCCATGTATCCTGCAACAAGCAATTACAAGTCATCTTCAGGGCATTGATTTATTTCTCATTGCCCTACCAATTTAACGACCTTATGATTTATACTGATTATGGAAGTCTCTCCTTGGCAAGCAAAGTAATTATCCATCCATCTCAAATTCTTTAAGGGAAGAAAAATGTTTATTTTCTGTCTGCATAATCAGTTTTATGTCATTTCTAATGGCATGACTCCCACATGCACTGAAGATCTATGTAGTAACTTCTAATGTCTCACAGAATGTCAATTGTAAATGCAATTTGACAACAGGTTTAACTTCCATTGTCTGATTGTTTGGCACTGTGTAACAAGGATGGTTAAGTCCTCTGCTTGGAAATGCATGTATTGTCCTAGAATAAAACAACGGACAAATTCGGGGGTCCAGTCATGAGGCCTTACAGTAAGAAAATTAGCAGGCTTTATATACATTTAAATATCAACTGTACAAACAGAGGTTAAAGAGCAACAGGATGGATCATGCCTCAGAAAAAAAAGGATGAAGCACATGACCTGCCAGTGCCCCTTCTGCTACTGTTTTTCTATAATTGTTTGATTTAGAATAGGGATTCCAGCTTACTGTGTGTGAGTTTATTTTGAAAGAAAACAAGTTTTATTGGGTTTTAGTAGGAAAACTCTAAGTAGCATTACATTAGTTGCCAGACTAATATGTCCTATGTGGGCTTCTGGAAAGCTTATATTATTTGATTGTGGGTTTTTTGTTCTGGATATTTGTTTGGTTAGTTGGTTGGTTTGTTTTGTAGAAAACAGAAGGTTCTTAAAACCTGAAGACCAAGGAGAGGTTAACATCCAAGGAAACTGAGTTTTACAGATGTGCCAGTGAGTTCCCCAAATTTTACTCCTTCTAAGCCTTGCTCCTCAAAGATTATTCACACACAGTAGGCCAAATCACTGCTGAAGTCACCTTATCTTTTTCATTCTCTCCTCCCAATCACTGGAGATTGACAGGTATAACCTTTATACATTAAAAGCCACAGTAAGATGATGAAGGAAGAATCACCATTCACAAGAGTTAGATGAATGATAGTCATGGTTCAAGTTGGGTACAGAAATGAAGGCAGTGAAGTTCCAATGTGCCCAACATACAGCATCAGTGACGCAAGCAAGATTTCAGAATTATTCCTGTCCATGCATTCAAGTTACTTGAAATAAAACTCTTCCACTGTACGCCAAAAGATTTTGGATTTTACAGCTAAGCCTCTGCTCTTTACCCATTTGTCTCTTGCCTTGAAGTTGAGAAAGAAAATCTAGACAAATTGACAAATCCTCTTTCTCCCTAAAACATGAAATTACATGTTTTTAGAAATGACACATCACATACAACTTTTAAATCCTGAAAAGGAAAACCTTCATACTTTCTTAATGCAACACTACCTGTCGTTTGACTAGCCTGGTACAGAGATGATATGTGAGTGGCTCCCACTACACCTTTCATTACAGATAAAAGCTTATTTTTCTTCCTGAGATCTTTAGGATAGAGCATTTTTTTTATTAAAAAACCCCCAAACAAACAAACAAACACAAGCAAACAAACAAAAAACAACCAAAAAAACCCAGCCAACCAACAAAAAATAACCCACTACTTCTTAATTAGGAATGAGACCAAAATTTCTGATTCAAACTACTTACTTCCTCCTATGCAAAATGATTTAGGTAGAGCAGAAGACCAACCCTGAAGGGTTTTTTTCCTCACATTCTCAACACCAATAGTTTCAAACACCTAAATAAATACAACAATTAAGGGTAGCCTCTTCTGTGGTAGACTGCCCACATCCAGGTAGATTGCCTTTGGACTTCACCACCTTCTGGGCCCCAGGTGGTGCGCTGTTGCCATAATGCATTATTATTATTATTATTATTATTATTATTATTATTATTACACACTTTTAAAATTTCAAAGTGCCTGTAATAACACAATGGCTTCATTGCAACCTACCAGAGAGATGGATTATGTAGCACAAAACTGAGGTGACAGAAGGGGCTGAGGGAGTGGCATGAGGGGGCATGTGAGGGTGCTAAACATTCCAAGATAGTTTTTTTTAAAAGACTGCGTAGGTAGAGGAAGCTAAATTTGATGCACTGATTTGATTCATCCTGCTTTATTTGGGAGGACTCCAATTCCAGCTTTTGAATGATCCACAGTAAACCAAGGAACTGAATGAATGACCAGGGATCCAGTGCTTCAGCCTGCTTCCTGGCCATCATTGACAGCTGAGACAGTCCCTGTGTAACAGGACCTAAAACACATATAGGACACATCTCAGTTCAGAAATTTTAACTTCCTGTTTATATCTTTAACATATGATGTGAAACAATGTCTAGCTCTGAGAAAATATTGCAGTATTAAGAACAACAGTTTTGAATCAGGCCCAAAGAAAGCATAGAAAGAGGTACTACAGGACAAAACCACAAAAAATGGAGACTGAAACCCAAAAAACAGACACATAGGAAATCAGTCTCAATTTCGTTGAATTAAATATCATCAACCAAACGATGTAGAAGTTTTCAGCAGATTAGTTTTTTGTTCACATAAAATTTCTCAAATTTTGGAGTTTCATTCAGTGTTGAGGAAGATGTATGGAAAAATCAATACAGGACAGAGAATGCAGAGAGCCACTGTGTTAACAGGCAGTCTTATTAATTGAAATTCTTCCAGTGGAGTCAGATGATTTCATTTCTATGTTCATCCCACTGGGCCAGTTTAAAATGGAAAACTTCCATGGTTGTTTAACAAACTTGCATTTTAACACAGTTAGATGCATGGGGATGCACTCAGGAACTACTCTTGTGCACCTTATTTACAGAATGTTTGCAGATAGATGTATTTTCAAGGCATGGATCTGTATATAAACAGACCTGGAGTTATCACTACTCCCAAATCGATGCTTTGCTAAGATATTTAATTGATTCTGGCGTTCATAATTTGAAGACAACAGATTAGGATCAGCGGTGTAGTATGTTGTGAGAGTAGCAGATTACTGCTTTTGATTTTGATGGTCACTTTTCAAATGAAATACAAAATAAAAAGAAACCACAAGAATGATGCTACAATTAAAAAATTTAGCCTTTCTTCACAGATTAAAGGCACTACACTGAGAAGAAAGACTGGAGAACTTCATCCTAGTTCATAACCATCCCGATGCTGAAGACTCCTAATGTGGTAGAAAAGAAGTCGAGAAATGAACTCACAGATTTTACTGTGGCAATTTATTTTTGTCCCACTCCTGTTTTGTTTCAGGTTATTTCCCTGCAGCGTAGCCTGTAGAACACAGTGTCTGCTCTTGTCTCTGCAGTTCCACTTCATAATTCAGAATCTTAGCTTAAAATCTACTTTTATGAGTCACTCAAGCTAAAAGGCCAGTTTGGTCCACACTGGCTCGGATGGGGATGCACATTCCATTGACTGACTCTATAGTTGGGAGCAAAGTCTTCAAAAGGAAAAAAAAAAATGGATCAGGGGAAATAGTTGGCACTGGGAATGGCTTGAGGGTCTGAGGCAAGATTTGACAGTTACTCTGCTCTGATCTTTTACATGTGTCATGGAAGCAGGAAGTAACGAAAGGTGATACTGTAGAAAGAGCATTTTATAAGCAAAACCTATTGTAGGTTCGTGAAAATAACTGTTAGGGAGACTGAAAATAGCTGGCAATTGCCCATTTTTGCATGCAAGACAGCAGTCTTCTTGGAAAACATGTCATGCAAAAATTCCATTCTGAATTTTTTTTTTCTAGGTTCCAAATATTTTTCACTCCTTTTAAATTAAATTGAGGCACATTTTATAACAAACCACTAAGTTATTATGTTTAGACTACATATGAAAAATATTTCAACTGTATTTTTGTATTTTTCAGATCAGAGTATTTGTGGAATACTATGTATTTACAAATATTTTTTGACAAGGAGAAATCAGTTATTTTCCAAGTATTTTAATACATCTTTAACAATTAGTAAATTCTGACATGAGACTTAAAATAATGGAATGCCTTTGTGGTTCATACATTATCAGAGTGCATTTGGGGAGGTTGGGTGTTACAGCTCATTGTGAATCTTCACAGCCTAGAGATTTGTCAAATTTCATAGACCCAGCTAATCACATATGTACTATTGCATATAATGTATAAATAGTAGTCTAACAATTTTTACATTAATTATTAAAATGCATTAGACATCTGAATTCCACATTTAAAACATACCACGTCTTGAAATACGTGAATATAATGCCATTTACAGCATCCTGAAACAGCTATTTCCACCTACATTTCTGCATTTGTCCTTCAAAAATTATTTCCTATACCACTGATAAATTGCACTGAACATTATTTAGTTCCTGATTTTAGGTAAGTTTTCTTAGAAGACAAACACATAACCATATTTGCGAGACTATCCTGCCTGCTTACCTTTCCCACTTACCTTCCTACCTGTCTCATATCAGGTACTTCTAGGAACCCATCACTTGATATCAAGAAGCAAACACAATGTTTTGGGACACTGAATTTCACTATAAAACAAGTCTTTACCCTGTAGGATTTTTTTCCTTTTTCTGTGGTTCACTCAGACCTCCCATACAGCACCTGGACTTCTGCAGATTCCCTCACCCTTTATCACAGAAGTGCTTCATACCCCAAGTATACAAGACCTAAAAATGGAATGTTTTGCAGATGCACTGAAGAGAGAAAAGAAAACACAACAGAATTTAAAAACATACTTGAGATGTGAACAGTGATTCACCAGTTATTTTTATATTGGAAACAGAATTTATACAAAAGTTAAGTATGTCCCATGAAGGACAGGTATGTTGTCCTTGCAAACATTCATGAAGATGAGAGATAAGGAGAAAAAAATACCAAATTCTTAATCTGCTGTTTCTCCCATCCTTTGTCTCTGCAAATTGTATAAGTATGATATAGAAAATTATGAGAACAACTGTGATGTGTTTTCCTTGTGGATCTTGTTTTTGGGTTTGGATGCAGTTGTTATGTGGGTTTTGGTGGTGGTTTTAGTTTTTTTGTTTTGTTTTGCTTTGCTTTTTTTTCCTTAATATTAATGACATTCCTACTCTTGACAGCTTCAAACTATTTTATCATGGAAAATATAAGGAAGTTTGTTTATGTCGGAAATGTCAGGGTTTTTGGGAAGAACACATGGAAAACAAATGTTTGTTGTTTGAGGTTACAATGTAAGTTAACCAATAGGACTAATATTACCTATATGTTATTACTTAAGAAGAAACTCTTCCCACCTTTGGCTTCACTGATTGGATAGTGCCTATATTCCAACCCTATGCCTTGCCTCCCTGTCAGCATAAGTTTCCTCTTTCCAGGAAATTGGAAAGCAGTGTTAACATAAATTTAAAGGGACCATTCTCAAACCTCCAATGAGCAGAGATTGCCAGAGGTGGAGTTGTTCTTTACGTACAGGAATTTACCTGTATTCCATTAGTTTTGCCTGATCAGAAATGTAGCCCATCTTACAATTAGAATGAAAACACATTCCAGCATAACATGTTCATGTTGTTTTACGTGAGCTCACAATAGTTCCCTGAAAAAGTGAAGTTTAGCACTAGTGGAATTCAAACTAAATTACAGGTTAGCAATGCCAGAAAATCTCTGAGGAGCATGTACAGACTAATGCCATTCCTTGAGAAGGACTGGACAAAGCAGAGCATTTGTATAGGTATCAGTAGCATCAGGGAAAGGGCAGTGGCCTACCAATGTTTATGCTTCTTGGACAAGGCCAGTTTGAGGGACATAAAGACCACCAAACTGCACACAATTTATCATTTGCCAAGTACAGATTCAGAACTGTTATAATCACCAACAAATGATAAATGTAAATCCCACACTATAAGAAATTTATATTGTCTTTATAGTTTTTTTCTCCCTATGAAATCCTGGGCTTGTTTACAGAGGGAAATTAATGTGGAGTAAGCCACACTAGAATGGTTAAGCAGGTTGCTTTATTAATATATCACTCTTAGACAATATTATGATACAAAAATTTTTAATAATGTCTTACTTTAGGGAGTTAGTGTATTGTTGCTAGCTCATAACAAGTTCTGTTCTTAGCCTTCTGTGAATCAGTTTGCCTTTGTAGAGCACTCCAAAGCCTATTCCACAGTTACATATAAAAATAGGTGGTCTCATTAACCATTAAGGAGCTGGCATTTTTTGGTTGCCAAGAAGTTCATGATCCATGTTAACTCACAATATAGAGGCTGTTTAATATCTATACAAGCTTCTAGCAGGCTGATTAGTTAAGATATAAGGTATTTTTATCACCTTAAAACTCTAATCATATGATGACATGAGTTCTTCAGCTTGAGTGTAAGAATGCTTTGGATAAAAGTTGTGAATCTTTGTGTCCTTCATTGTTTTGTATACTGTTACTGTACCCCTTCTTAGCCATCATTTATCAAAGACACCCAACATTTTCTATTTCTCTGCATGTTGACCGTTTGATGTTTACACTTGCTTTTACTGTTAAGATCTGAACAATTTTTCTTGTACCTCAGTGCCATTATTGACTCCTGTTTGAAGACACCTCTGCAAACAAGTATCTAACCACTGTATGTCATAAATGTTGTCCTGTGATGAATTTTTCTATAGTTAAAATTATCATATGCAACTAGCTAGCTGATCAACTCAGCTATATACCTGACTAATCAACCATGAGATTTAGAAAACTTAGGTTAAAAATTAATCAAATGCATGTAATGATTTTCTACAAAGACATTACTAAAAGGCAAAAATCAAACTGTTTTAATTGCTTCCTATAATAGTAGGAAAACTTCTTGTCAAAGAATTTGGTATTTTATTTTAGTATCTATATGGTTACTTTTCAGCAGCGAAGTAAAATAATTTAATGTTATTACAACAGTAACTGACAGTGTTAAACATAGTCCAAATCAAACAAAAATGTTCTTTTTTCTGGTGGCAGAATTTTGTAAATTACTAGAGAGAACTGTATGCACATTTGTACAATGCTTTTTAAGGAGAATCCAAGTAATCTAAATTAATAAATTTCTAAATTACCGACAGAATTGGTCCACGTTTAAAAACAAATGCTTTTATATACATGTATAAATGCTTAAATGGGGCTACCTGTGTATGTGGAGGGAGGAATATTAAAAGAAAATCTTAAGCTTTTGATGTAACATGACATCGGTCACACAGTGCTATCATCTACCATGGTATTAATAGGGAAAATATTTGAAGTACCTGAATTCAAATTCTAATATATATTTAGGCACTGTTGTAGC